TGCCCACATCTCACTCAGCCAGTGAGCGGCCGGTCTGTATGTGGGATCCGAACCCTCGGCGGGAGTGCCGCTATGCTCCCAAGCGGCGCACTGTAGCAGTGCACCACCGGGCCGACCCCTAAAGATCCTTTTTTGGTGGATCTTACATTTGAACAGACATTGACAGATTATGAACAATAAACAAAATAAGTAGTAAGTAGGTTATACAATATGTGAATGGTGGTAAGTACTACAGTAAAAAAGTTTTTATTTTTAACTTTTTAAAAATTAATTATTATTTACATTCTAAGATGGTGCAGAGTAGGTAGGGGTATGGATATAGAGCTAGGGGGGAGGAGGATAAAGTGGGAGGAAGAGGAAGGGGGCTAATGATCAAGTCCTGTGGCATCGCTCTCACTCTGGTAGGGGAGCCCAAGGGACTTCCACTGGTGGCTCAGTTAGGGTTAGGGTTAGGGTTAGGGTTAGGGTTAGGGTTAGGGAACTTCAGAGGCGTGTGGCTGAGGCCCTTGCCCCCCAACCCCCCAACCTGGGAGCCTGGGGCACTTCTGGCCATGGCTTGGTGATTGTTGCTGGGCTGGATACTGATGTTGGAGGGGCATGGCTGAGACCCTTGGCCCCCCATTGCCCTGGCTTGGGAGCCCGGGGTACTTCCAGTAGCAACCTGGTGGTTGTCCCTGGGCTGGATGTGGATGTTGGGGGTGTGTGGCTGAGGCCCTAGGCCCCCTGCTGACCTGGCTTGGGAGACTGGGGCACTTCTGCCAGCAGCCTGGTGATCATTGCTGGGCTGGATGTGGACATCAGAGGGGTGTTGCAGAGGCCCTTGGCACCCCCTGCCCTACCTTAGGGGCCTGGGGTGATTCTGGCTGTTGCTCAGTGGTCATCGCTGGGATTGATGCAGACTTTGGGTGGGTGTGGCTGAAGCTCTTGGCATCCCCCACCCTGGCTTGGGAGAGAGGCTTCCAGTCCTATGTTTTATGGGTGTTCTTTGGTGGTTTTAGACCTTTACAAGTTAATATCACAACTTTGTCTTTAATCCGT